TACAAGCCCCACGTCAAAACTGTTCGAATCGGGCCCCGTACTTCCTAAAGCCCGCCCTGCTTATACAGGCTCCTATTTCCCCCCCCCCCCCACTCCACTGTCCCGATTTTTCACAATTGCTGTCTGGTCACTCTAGTCGCATCCATACAATATATATATATATATATATATACTACCTGTATGGAACTGAGAGTGTCACATGGGCCACAGCTGTGTGGGCTGATTGGGCTGCAGGTTGAGAACCACCGCTTTAGTCCACTCTTCATAGAATATCTTTCCTCTAACATATCAGGTTTAGTTCTCTGTTGTTGTTTTGCAAGTGAAATCTTTCTTCGATTTTGTTGCTATGGCGGTGGGGAATAGCACTATAAAGCTTGGTTTAATTTCCAGGGTATTTTAATTCCTAAGATGAAATTTTATTAACAATAAAATACTTTAAGTGTAATTTGAGGGACACAGTTTCTTTGTCTTAATTTCTTTGGCATACTTTCCTTCATTGTAAGAAAACACAGCATAAAGCTTTCTTCCAAAATGAAGATTTTATTTTGTTTGTGATACCAAAAATACCAGTCATAAGATACGTTTTTAACAAAGCTAATGGCAATTTTGATCTATAGTGTTTTGTTGGCTGTATTTCTAAATGTAGTAGTTCTTTTGATTTCAGTATTGAGGTGCATTTAAATAGATCAAACTGTTAAAGGAATATCTTTTTTCCTGTATTGAGCTTGATACATGATGGTGGTGATAATATATTTCTGGTCTGCCTGTTGGCTCCCTTCCTCCATTTCTTTTGTTTCTATCAAGAGAGTGCCACAGGCAGATTGACAAATAAGCAGGAATAGCTGGATATTTACTCCCTTAAGCCCCAACCTTGCAAAGACTTTTAAATGCATGCTTAACTTTACTAACAGTGTATAAAGTTAAGCAACCCATGTGCTTAAGTTGTTGTAAGATCAGGGATTTAGACTATGCCTTGTTTGTACTGTGCTTAGCATAATGGGACTGGCCAGTATCCATGACTGGGGGGCCCCCTCTCATTGCTACTGCAATACAAATTATTAATAACATAACTGTTTTTTTTGTGTACAGAATTGAACAGCATTGTTGTGATATTTGCATGCCTTGGACATGTTCCTTTCAGGCCGGTAGTAACAGACGCTTATGCCTCTGTCTGGTCATTTGTGTGTTGTATGTTGTTTGCCTCACAACGAAACGTTATTGGATATTGAGCCAGGTGCCAGTCGAAAGGTTGCAAAATCTGCAAGAGAATCTACAGGAAGAAACAAAACAATAGAGTAGTGGTTCCCAAACTTTAACAGCCCACGAACCCCTTTCACTAAATTGTGACATCTCGTGAACCCCCTCCTAAAAATGAATATTTCCAGGGATTTAAGTTTAAATTTCCTCAGTGTGATGGATTCGCTTGCCTTGCTCTGCATAGCTCTTGGAAGTCTGGAACCACTGGAGAAAGATAAAGTCTCAGGTCTGGTTGGGCATCAAGTCTGTTTCTGTATTTGGTTTTTAGATGTGCATATGAGGAAAATGCTTTCTCGCATAAGTATGTTGTTGAAAATGGTAACAAAACTGCAGCAGCTTTTTCTGCCAGAAAGGGGTACTCGTTTCTTAAACTCAGCCAAAAGTTGATCAGTGATAGATTTCTGAAACTCCTTTTCAGTTCGTAATCACAGGAGATCTCAATCAATTTCTCTTTTTCCTTTGTGTTTAATATCTGTGTTGAGAAAGTGGTATAATCAAAAGGGTTGCGAATTCAATTATTATCGCCTGACATAGCTGGAAAGTATTCCCTGAAAGTTGTGCAAAGTCCTTTTAGGTGTGCAATTCTATTGGTTTTAGTGCACTGATCCAACTGAAGTTTATGTTCTGCCAGGAAGTCATGAAGATTACTGAAACACTCAGCTTGATTGTTTTCCAAAC